TAAAATCATCTACGCCTGGGACCCAGCATCTTTCCCCTCCATCATCCTCCGCCGGTGCTCCTCCTCAAGCAAACTTTGTTTGCGCACATACTCGAGCACGACCTCCTCTTCTGTCCTCTGTCTCTCTATATTCTCCTTGCGCTCGTTTTCTGCCCTCTCGCTCTCCCGCAGGATGCGCTTCAGTTCCTCATCTTCGTCATCGGCAGCAGCGTCATCTTGAACACGAGCAGTGTAGCTTGTTTCGCCAGTCATCATGGTGCCTAAGCGCGTGCTTTCTCCATCTATGGGGCTGTCGCCGACAGTTCTGTCAGTCGCACCTACAATGCCAGTCTGCTGCTGTTGCTGCTGCTGTTGCTGCTGCTGCTGCTGCTGTGCGAGTTTTGCGAGCTGAGCAGTATGAGCGTAGTCGTCTGGATAGTTGTCATGGAGATGGGCTAGCTCCTTCGACTCTGCTATAATACGTTGGTAGTCTTCGTCGTCCTCAGTATCGTCTGTATCCCACTCCGAATCGCTGCCGTGTTGACGGCGTGTTCGTGTCTCCAGAAGACTTCGTCGTAGCGTCTCTTCAAGCATTTTCTGCTCTTCGCCAGTTTGGTCCTTTACACCAGCCTCGGACATGCTAGCGGCTATGGCGCGGCGAAGTGCTTCTTCCTCTTCTTTTTGGGTCGGAGTAGTGCTCGCATCGGCGCGCTCAAGTTCGGCAATCGAGGCACGAATGGCAGATGCAATCAGCTGATCTTCTTCAGGGTCACCGCGAGATGCTTCAGCAACGGAGGCGGTGATTGCTCGCTCTAGTTCGCGTTGATCTTCCTCCTCTTCGGCCCTGAGCTGCGCCTCGAGTTCGGCTTGTGTAGGTTGTGATGAGACGCTTGCCTGACTCCCAGTAGCAGTAGTTTCTTGTCGTTGAAGAGCACGTGTTCTCTCGGCTTCCTGTTGGCGCCAACTGGGAATAGTAGACCGGATTTCAGGCTCGACGTCATGTCTTCTCGGCGGGGCGGGATATTGACCGAGCAGGTTGTCCTGCTGAGCCAAGTTACTCTGGGCCAATGATTGACCATTTGTAGCATTTGCCTGCGTGAGCCTTGCTGTTCGTTCGTTCTTTCGGTCCCTTTTCTGTTGTACGAGTGAATGTAAAGAGTCCATATGCTCAGCTCCAACATTTCTTTTCTTTTTGATACTTCCCTTCATGTTTTTCCATCTTCTGATGATCTCATCTCGCTCTTGCTGCGAAACAGTCGAGGCTTCGTCGTAGCCCTGTGCAATTCGTGCAGCGATGATATAGTTCTGCACATTCTTTCCCTTGTTTTTGACCATTTCTTGGTAGAGTCCCTTCATTGCATAGCCAGGGACCGACCACGCACCGCCCATGACACGGAATGGGACGCTCATGATGCCACGACCAACACCCTTAACGAACCCGATGCCACCCTCTTTCTTGGCACCTTTGTACGGATCGGTTACGATGCCTGTGATGCCATCATACAGCCCAAGGCCGAATTCCTATATTCGTGTTAGAAAGGCTCAGACGGTCTAAATCTATCTCCATTACCTTAGCAGCTGTACGCATGCCACTTTGGAAATCAGTGACTTTGTCAACCTGCCGCACTTCTGCTCCATAGAGCTTGGGCACATTGTGGAATCCCTTGGCAACGTTCAGTGAAAAGTCCATGGGCGACTTGAAGCCGGCACCTATGATGCGTGCCAGACCCTTTCCGGTATCTACGGCAGATTCGACATTTTCCGTAATTCCGGGCCGTTGCCCAGCGTTGGAAGGTGTGGTCGACTGAGTTCCTGTGTTTGAGCCGCATCGCTCTCTAGAACGTGACCGTGAATGTTGAGTAGATTCAGAAAATGCCTGAGACATGAACGTGGATCTATGCGAGGTCGTATCAGGAGAACTTGCTCCTGGATTACTGGCTTGAATGCGTGCGATATCTGCAGCGGCATCGGCTGCTGTTGGTGTTGTGGCTCGATCTGGACTCGGGCGTTCAGTATTGTCTGCCATGCTTCTTGATGTTGCTACACTTCCACTACGACCCCCGCTTCCTGATGCAGACTCTGTTCCTGTTACCTTTTCTTTGCCCTTCTTGGACCTGGAATCAGGGTGAATATTCAGCAGTTTGAGGGTCTGGATGGGCATGTCGGCAACACCCATCATCATCGAAGTCGCGGTTCCCATCAAAGCGCCAGCGGCACCAGTGACTGGATCCCAAGGACCTTCATCTGGGACGTATTCTCGAGGGCGGAAGCTGGGAAATATTAATTAAGAACATGTGTGGGTCAACAACATACTCACAGCTTCATCTCAGAGAAATTGATTTCGCCTTCTTGAGCCAATACAGTTGCTGCTTTGGCACTCAATATTACTTGCGTGCGTCTGAGCCTCCATACGGCGGGTTTATTTGGCAAAACTGCGCATCGCATCTTGTCGTAATTGAGCATCTGATGAAATGATTGGGCACCACTCTGCGTTCCATTCTCCTGCTTGATTTTGTCACTAAGCTCTTGTGCTCGGTCGAGCGATTCAGGTTTGAGTGCTTCCTTGATAGCTTCTGCAAGTTTCTCTGCAGTGAGCTCCTTGTGAGGAATGGGCTGAGGTCCCGCACCAGCGCGTGCCACCATGGCTCCCCAAAAGGCTTGGTCTCCAAAAAAGGGTACAACGACTGTAGGCTTTCCAGTAGCAATACCAGCTGCTGTGGTACCAGCACCGCCATGATGAACAACGGCTGAGACGCGCTTAAATAGCCAATCGTGTGGACAATTACCAAGCATAAACACTCCGTCAGGCTTCCCAAGGTCATCGGCTCCAAGTCCACCCCAGCCTTTGGACACCAGCGCTCTTTTCCCAGTAATCTTGACAGCGTCGAAAATTAGCTTAGTCATGGCGTTTGGATCATCCACCACAATGGAACCAAATCCAATATAGACCGGGGGTTCTCCTGCGTCTAGGAATGCCGCAAGATCTGGATCTGGCGTATAGTTAGAGGCAAGGTTAAGAAAATAGAAACCAGCAACCGAGATGTGATGATTCCAATCCTTGGGCTTTGGGATCAAAGCCGGTGACCTGCTATTCGTAAGACTAAAGTTTCTCTAAGTTTATGTTTTCCACTCACCAGCAGTACGTGAATGGAACTCTGAGTCGTGCGAGCATGGCCGGTGCCCATACACCACTAATGGGATCCAAGCAAAGGCTTTCTTTGCGAAATCTGTTGATGACATCTCCAAGACCCTGCCAGGTTAGCACGTCAACCATGATGTATGACATGTAGTTGGTAATTGAAGCATCTGCATTCGAAGACTGGATATTTGCGAGTGGATGTGGAAACTGTTGTGTGGGCGACCACGGCATGCTGTCCTCGTCTTAGCGTATGCGTAGCGCGCGGGTGTACTTTTAAACTTACGTGAACATCATATGCAGTGGTATGCCTAGCTTTTCAGCGCAATGTATATGCCCAAAGCTTGGGGGGTTGGCAATGATGGCATCAGCAACAAAGGGTTTCCGAAGCTGCTCTGGCAGTTGGTCCTCTATGCCCATCCACTCTTCTACTGTTTGCTGGAGCGGATCTACACCGAGGCCATTGCCAGTCTCTATGCAAGATCTCCATGTTCCACTGAGAATCTCTGCGATGCCTCTCCTCCTCTTGCCAATATCACCACTGCGCAATGTATCGAAACCTGGCATTAAGCCAGGATTCTTCACCATAAAGGCCATGAGCTCGGCTGGATCGCCGCCGATACTAAAAAATTCCAATCCATTCTCGGTAACAAAGTCCTTGAACGTAGGATGTGTTGCTAGCCGTACTCTGTGCCCATAAGTCTCTTTGAGCACCTTGCCGAGCGCAACGAAGGGCTGCACATCACCCCGCGATCCCACCACTTGTATGACAAGATTTAGTGGAGGCGGCGGCTGTTGGCCTGGTGCGCCGCCAAGAAACTCTGGGATATAAGGTGGAGGAGGTTCAGGATCTTCTTGTGCATGTGTGAGTTGGCGTTGGATTTGTGGAAGGATGAGTTGCGAAAGGGTGCGGCTCTTTTGGTCTATGCGAATGTTTACACGCCCATCGTCTGCAACAACGGCGTTTGTGCCTAACTCTTCATTCTCGACTTGGCCTGGAAGTTCGCTGTATGCCGGAGGCTGCTCGCCGATTGGAGACTCCACACTAGAAATGTGCGCATTGTCGAAGTCATGCTGTGAACTCGAAGTTTCGCTTTGGGTTGCATCAGCACACATCAGCTCCCTGTTATGTTTGGGGTTCTTACGGTGGTTGTGTATGTCCTGGCGGTTGCTGTGATGGTGGGGCTGTGCGAGCAACGTCATTGCCCTGCGTGGGGCCCTTTGAACTCGACATGTCGTATTTTTTATGGTCAAGTCCGCAAAAGTGGCATCACGAGAAAACCACACAAGGAGAACAGGAGAGGCGAAGGAGGGAAGAGATCAGGATCGGGCTGTGAGGATCGCCAACGCTCCATATCTACAAGAAGCCTGTAAACGCAGGCATTGGCGTCGCGCACGCGCTATGACACGGAATTCGGGCAAATAAAGACGTGATTGGCCACAAGTCTCTATAGAGGCAAGATTGGAGCCTCACAGCCACAAACAAGGTGGATAATCCAGGCTGCGCCTCGACGTCTCTACGGGTAATACCTTTCAACGATACCCGCCTCCGGAAACTCGCAGCATTTGGGGGATCGCTAATACAGCAAACTCACGCTTGGACAAGATCAGAGACAAAGATGGCATTCGTAGACCTTGGCAACGCCGGCTGATTTAAGTATAGGCCAAGCTTTCTCTTTGCCCTGAGTAGCATGGCGTTGAGAGAGGTCTCCCGACATTGCACCGAGAATTCAATAGTCTTGTAAGCTCCCAGTCTCTGTTACCTTCCTCTCTGCATCTTCTCTTCTGCTGGTTCCTAGCCGAACGGTAGGCTTTGCTGGGTGAAGGTTAGTTCCAGCCTGGTCTCAACAACAATCTGTATCACCAGCCCAGCCGATTCTTCCACATACGACCATAGGCAAAGTCGATCATCGGGTCCCGTTCGATCCCCAGCTATTAAACCTTTGACCGGCAGGCTAGTAGTCAGGTGGGTGACCACTGGCGAATCCCCGCTGTCGTATGTTTTTTTTTTTCGTTGGTAGAAGAACTTGAAATAGTTGTTTCCAAACCCCTTTTCTTATTGGTAACTCCACCTTCAATAGAGTGGAGGATAGGTACTGTGAATAGAAGATGTTCTACCGTATTATGATCGAGATAGCTGAAACTGCTCAGTAATCAATAAGACAGTTACATTTTTATCTTTTCAAGTGAACTGGTCTTTGGCTTCAAAAAGACGAGAAATGACCCAAGCATTCTCTCAAGCTGAAGTGTGTAAGGAGTGGAATAGGAAGGCTGGATCGCCGTACCTTGCCGTTTTGAGACTAGCATTACTTCCCCTGCATGCTCATGTTGGCGCGTCATCATCATGCATCACGCGTCGCCATAGGCGCCGAGCGAGGGCAGGCTGTTTCCATGCCCTAGAATGCACAGGACATAGACTTGCTATACAATATCTAAATCCTGATTTCAAAAATCTACCATTCTAGCTTATAGGTCAATAAACCACGCCTTTAGCGCCCTATCCCCAACCACCTGACTAGATAGCTACACGGACCCCCTCCCCTCTCCAGGCTGGACATCTGCGTCCATCGAAAGTTCTTTGAATCCAGGATTTGACCCGAATCTAGCCGCCATGTACGTGAACGACGTATTGGCTGGAGCGATGCTCCTGGCTTCAGCTGCAGCATGGAACACGGATGGTAGGTTGCAATATCACATGCAGAGGTGTTCTGTACTGAGTTAAGCCAGTTCACAACCAGATCGGCTTCATGGCAGAGACCTTCTTCACACCAGAAACCACTTCCATCCTTGCTGAGATTCTCGAACCGCAGTATAACCGCTCTGTGGGGCGCTCGGCAGCATGGGCAGACGCCTATGCGCATACCCATGAAGGACACTTCTCTTACCAGTGGCATTGGATAGATACGCATGATCACCCACCAGAGCGCTGCCATTTAGAATACACCAATGACTGTGCGAAGGGCGGATGTGTTGTGAGTGCCATCGCAAACCAGACAGACATTCTGCGTGGATGCATAGACCAGGTTCGAAGCGGGCATTTGACGGGAGGAACCAATCTGACGTGTTCCTACGCTCTGAAATGGGTGGCTCATTTCTTTGGAGATATCCACCAGCCGCTGCATGCGAGTGGGCGCGCTGTGGGGGGCAACACGTTCAAGGTAGTGTTTGGAAATGTCTCTACCCAACTCCACGCTGTGAGTCCTATCCGTTAGTCGGGTTATTCCAAGCTTACAAACGTAGGTCTGGGATGGATACATTCCATACTACGCTGCAAACGTCAGCCATCCCTTTTCCAACCAGTCCATCGACGGTTTCTTCGCCGGTCTCGTTTCGCGCATCCGGAAAGACGAATTCTACTCTGCTCCATACATGTGGCTGTCTTGTGTGGATCCTTCCACTCCAGAAGAATGCGCGACGAGCTGGGCAAGAGAAAGCAACCGATGGGATTGCGATTACGTTTACAGCCGCGTGCACAATGATACGGACCTTGGAACAGATGGGTATGCAGATGGTGCTGTACCCATTGTCGAGCTGCAGATCAGCAAAGCGGCACTCAGATTGGGCACCTGGCTTAACAAACTCGTGGGAGAGAGTAAAGTCGCCTCTGAAGAATTGGAGATTATTGAGCTTTAATCTTGTGTGTTGGTATGATAGTTGAAAACATAGCACCAATCAATTTTGAATGGACATACTCAGTTTGAAGTAGAGATGACAGCTTCAGTGGCCCGAGAACTTTGGTAATAAGGAGTATGAGCCGACGGACAACGGAGTCCCAGCAGATTTCTGGCGATTGCCCAAGCACTTTCAAGCCATTCCTCTGGGGAAAAGATCTTAGGCAAGGTTACTAGACTAGATATCTTCGGATACATGCGAAGCGCAGGTGGTCTCTTAGTAGTTTTTAGCTCATCAATAAAGCTATGTCAACCGCCAGACAACGACGTTGAACATATTCTCATTCGACCAAGTCAAGCCGAATCTCACATGCATAATCTATGAATAGTATCACTAAAAGACGTTCACCGGCTGGAACTAGTGGCCGTGATGATTTAACGTCAGCTCTACTGACCCCACATCGGCATATGCTATGTCCTCCCCACATGGAGCAACATCTCCAACCATTCTCGCAATGCCGACTGACTTCCTTTTCTTCCGTGCTTCTTTCTTTCAATAGCGCTCAATAACGCCAGGAAGAAGTTGTAAATCAATATGGCTTTCAGCGAACTCAACGAAAAAATCACCCCATCAGTACGTATATGCAACGGCCCCACATCGACTTCTCCGCATTCCCATTCTAGGTCGGAGTTTCGTAGGCCACAGCCAAACGACCATCTATCGCCATATGAAGAGTACGCTAATGATGTTTTCAGAATCCAAGTCGGGAAGTATCGCCAAATCGAGGGTCATCAGTCGACCAATCTATCGCTATTCCTAAGCCCTGCAAACCTCTGCGACAATGGCAACAAGAACAAAACATCGATCGCGATGCGCAAATCAAACTCACCAAACTCGTGCATATGCGCTACCAGCACCCAAACCTTGATGAAATCACTACGTTCCTGCGCGACTTTGGTATGACCGTAGCTCAAAAGGCCGAGGGCAAAAAATGGTTCAAGGGCTACGGCGACGACCAATATGTCTACTATGCGCAACAAGGCGAGAAGAAATTCCTAGGAGGATGCTTCGAAGTACAAAGCTACGCCGAACTTGAAAAAGCCTCCAAAATCCCAGGCGCCAGCCCCATTGAAGAATTGACCGATGCTCCCGGCGGTGGCCACCTGATTACCCTGCATGATCCCGAAGGCTTCCCAATCAACCTCATCTACGGCCAAAAGAAAAAAGAGCCTGGCCCCTTCCCCGAAATCCTAACTACAAACTATGAGAAGGATAAGCCACGAATCGCTCGCTTTCAGCGCTTCAAACCCGGTCCAGCTGCCGTGCACAAACTAGGCCATTATGGTCTCTGCGTGCAAAAGTTCCAGGAAGAATTGCAATGGTACACCCGAACTTTCAACATTGTACCTACTGATTTCCTCTACGTAAACACACCTTCGTCGGACCCTGCGTCCCCACAGAAAAAAGACGTCGCCATCTTTGCGCATATCGATATCGGACAAGAGTACACTGATCATCACACTATCTTTTTGTCTACGAACCCCACGTCGCATGTGCACCACAGCAGCTTCGAAGTGCATGACTTCGATACGCAGAACCTGGGACATGAGTGGTTGGCTTCAAAAGGGTACAAGAGTGTTTGGGGCGTAGGTCGGCATATTCTTGGGAGCCAGTTGTTTGATTACTGGTGGGATACAACGGGCAATATGATTGAGCATTATGCGGATGGGGATTTGGTGAATGAGGACACCCCTGTAGGATGGGGAGAGGCGGGAGATGAGAGTTTGGCGGTTTGGGGACCAGAAGTGCCGAAGTGGTTTTTGGATTAGTTCTGACTTTGTGGCTCAAGCTTGGATGTGTAAGATGTTTCTTTGCGGCGTTCATATAAGCTGGTTGTTCAGATGCTGATAGCTCTAATTGTGATGCAACTCCCTTACTCGCCCCCAGCCCTTCTCCATTACATCATCGTTCGAGAAAAACCTTCCACTGACTTTCTCGCCATTGTCTTTACCCAAACCTCCATCCTCATTGCCACTCTCTCCTAGATCACCTGTTGCAATTCTAACAGGTATTCTCGCCCCCTCCTCCAAAGTCTTGATTGGCTTACCAAAATGATTGCCCATGTCACTAGCTACAAGTCCTGGACAACAGGTGTTCACCAACACATCTTTGTTCTCTCTTGCCAATACTCGAGTCATGGCATTCATGAGTGATTTGCTGACTTGATACGAGTTCGGTGGCGCACCAAACCCAGCAGCTTCTTGATTGTGAGATTTGACGGCAGAAATATACTCCTGAGCTAGCGCATCGATTTCAGAGATCGATGCTGCCGAGCGGAAACGTGATTGTATGGAGGGACTGTAGTTTGAAAGAGCAGAGAGAGCGCTGCTGACGTTTACAATGCGCGAGTCTGGCGTAGTACTCATCTTGCCTTCAGTGAGGAACAGTTGGCACATGTCTTTTGTTCCGTTGTAGTTAATCCTGATGGTCTGCTCCGCCACCTCGGGCGTATCGATGTCGTTGTTATTCACGCCAGCGTTGTTGATGAGGACGTCAATCTTGCCATCTCTCTGCAAAGTATTGGTAATGAATGTCGTAATAGAGGATTTATCCGTGATATCCAGTTTGGCATATCAGATCTCATTCGGAGACAATGGCTGGATTTCGAGATTGACGCCGCTGCGAGATGTAGCATATATACATAACGGTCGTCGATGCTGGGTTTTTGCAAGGAGTCTAATGATACCTTCGCCAATGCCGCGATTGGAGCCGGTGACAACAATAATAAGGGGCTCAGACATGTCTTTGGTGAGACTTAGCGATTTTGAGGTGTTTGATTGAAGATCTTGATGGTTTTTCAAAAGGGGCGTGAATGTTTTGAGCAGAATTATCAACTCTTAAATAGCCGGCAGAGGTGGTAGGTGCTGTTCGGACTTCGGTGTAGTAACAACTTGTCTTATAAATCCGACGCCTCAAAACGAGGTAAAGGTTGTGACGGACCGATTCCGCTGCCCAGTCGTACTTTTGGAGAACTTTTGTAAAATTCCCCTTATCCTACACTTTTTGTGGTCAGAGTTAATCACATTTAGAAGAATCTATCATTCTGGAACATTGATAAACTAGCACATAAGCATGAATGATGCGCCGAGAGAAAACGATAATGTTCCATAAGAATTGAGGAACTGTGTAATGCCATGATGAGAGTACTACTATGTAATATACGTATCACACAGACGAATAGCCCACTCGGCCGAGCAGCTCACACGGACGACACACGGGCGAATATCCCACTTTTGCCAAGCCCTTATAAAGCCACTATATTATAGCATAAAATAGCCTATCCTAGCAATGTATAGTGTAAAACTCCAGCTTCTGTCTTTTATAAAAT